TCTATAAAGTTGGGGGGTAGTACTATACTTGCATAAATATTTTTACTTATGTATTTTAACTGAAATATCGGCTTCATTCTTCATTCTCTTTTCCGGACTCAGGCGAGTCTGGAAATGAGACCACAACGTTGAAAGCAGTTGAAACGAGCTTAGCTCTGACACTCCTCTGTGCTTCAGAGCGAGATAACAGATCCAGGCAGGCGACATGATGTGAAAAAAAGGGTAAAATGATTCCTGCACCTTAGTAATGATAAACTAATTACATTAGTGTGTGACCGGGCCGCTCCTCAAACAACAAACATGTTCGTCTGTAATGGCTGCCGGTGTTCTGAAAAAGTTTGTATCCCTGAAAAAACGTTTCCCCACTAGAGGGGGCGCTCAYGAGTAGGAAGTAATCCGCTGTTCCCCCACAAGATGGACCAAATCTCATGTGAAGTCCCTGACTTTTGTGTTGGCGCATCCTGGTGGACTATGTGTAAAATGCCAGAATTTATATGATGCTCAAAATCATAGTTTGCTGATACATATTTGTTGTCAAAATACCTTTTAGTACATATGTTGTTAAAATAAAATGAACAGTCCTATGGTCATTTTACTGATATGTATAAAGACTGCAAAGGCTGAAAAATCTTGAAGTCTGTATGAAATTGGAGGTAGTTTGAGGATTAATTTTTTATGCTTTTTAAGCTCAAAAAAGGGTGCGTCATATTATACATGAGATCGTATTATACACAAATAAATACAGTATGTTCCTGATGATAGACATATAATTTTGGCCGTTTAAACAAAATTCCAAATCTAATACAGCGATGGTTGCAGCAAAAATGTATTATTTTTTGGTTAATAAAACAGTAAAATTCTAGTAAAATTATAAATTAAACTTCAAATTAATAAACAGGCGTATTGCCATTTTAAAAGTGTTTGCTTACCAGTCAYTGTAGCTCAAAGCTGACTATTATGACTCAAATCTGAGAACACGTACAAGGAAAAATACCACCCCAAATTGAGGTTATATATGTTTCAAATAAAGGACATCCAGCATGTAGGTCAACTTTTGAATGCTTGGAGGCATTAAGAGCAGGTGAGCCTCATCAGTCTAACAAGCCAACCCTYTGCCAGCTCGTTACACTAAGGGGAGAAGAAGCACGCTGAGCACAGCCTGCCATGATTGTTAGACGAATCAATAGTATATTGTTTCAGAAAAATGTGCGTGGCCAGACTGATTTTTTTTTTTTGTGATAAAAAAACCCTTACCTTTTAAAATGTGCACATTTTAATTAATTTGGTCTTTTGTTTTTAAACTCAGGCAAAGATAAAATGAGTCCGATTCAAAATAGCTTGAACACATTCTTCTAGCTGCTTCCCCCACAGGAACCAATTATTTGGGACACAGTTTGTTTTTCAAATGAACCCATAAATTCTTCACCCCTTTTGCTGTGTTGCATTCAATCCCAGAAATCAAAGACAAGGAGGGTGCAGAACGAAGCAGTTCTAGCTTTTTACACCTTAAATCAGTGTAATTTAAGTGATCTTTTTTGCACTTTTTTTTACAGGACTGAAGTACGCTGTGTTTTGCACATCTCTTTAGTTGAGAAGAAAAGGACTAAACTCATTATTAAAAGTTAATTTTTCTTTTTATTTATCAAGGTTTTAACCCACAATTTTGTTTTTGTTAAAATAAGACTTGCAAAACCAGCTACTTACAAAACAATTAACCTAGCATTAATTAACACTAAGCATTTGTTCTTTTTYCCCCACTTAATTGTTTGCTTTTCAAGTGAGATTTTACACAGAAATTATAGATATTTATTCCAACCTCACTTAACTCTCTTTTACTGTTTTGAAGGAACATTTCAACACCAGCAATGACCCTTTGAAATCGGGGGCAAAGGTCTTTGAATTTTTATTCAGACCACCACTGTTTGTTTCTTGTTTCAAAAAAAAAAAAAATCAATGCAATTTTTTTTCCTTTTGAGAAATACCTTAGATGTGAGTTCATTATTGCAACCATGGCAATGAAGGTGTTATGAGCAAGTTTTGAAGCCTGACCCAAAACACAAACACAAGGACGGCGGGTTGCAGCAGAAAATAAAGCAGGGCTTACATGCTGAGCAGGGGTGGGCTGGTTTGACACAGAGAGATAAGGTAGCTTGACAACAGTAAAATGGAAATAAATAAATCACAAAGAAGAAGGAAGAGAAGGCAATATATCATTTAGATTTTTGTAGTGGACTTTGTGCATATTTAAATAAATACATTGATTTTCACCTTATAGTCCAGAAAAGCATTTTACACTTTCATTTTTACACAAATATTATCACCAACCTTTCAAGATTTTATAGTTCTATATTATTCTAACATAAAACGTTTGTCAGACAGAGTGACCCTGAGCCATCTCTTTTACTAATGTTACTCTGACAACCTGTCCTCATCTTTCCTTTTGTTATTTACCAGTTTGCTTAAAGGCTTTTTACAAACTAGCATTTATATGATATATAATGGACTACACCTATTGAATTCAGTTAGATTAATTCAAACTGTATGACATTTAAAYTATTTAGACTGAACTGGTTTGTGTTTTCATTCAAACCTGAGTTTGAATTCTCAGGTTTTGCTTTACAAATGGTCACTTTATAAATAACACAAGTCAAATKAAACTAAAAATGGTTATGTCCTTGCAGGTTGTTGGGGAACAACTGTTGAAACATTTCAGTTTTAATGCCCAAGATTTTTGACTTAAATTCACACAAAATAATTTGGAAACATGCCTACTGACTAAAATGATGGCGTTCATTGCTGACCATGATGACTGAGATGTATCTATTTTTCAAGGGAGACCTGGGCCTGAAGGCAACATATTGTACATGTTTTTTGGGGGTGGGGGAAACTGAGCACCCGGAGAAAACCCACGCAAGCACGAGGAGAACATGCAAACTCAGAAAGACCCTAGGTCCGAACCGGGGATCAAACCTGAGACCTTCTTTGCTGTGAGGCATCAGTGCTAACCACTGAGCTGTCGTATTAAAATTTGTTGGCTCATTTATCTCCTCACAGACGAGATAAATCAGCTGGATGAGGAGGTAGGAAAATAAAAGGAAAAATACAAACAGACTCAAAGACAACAAGCATCAGGAATCTAGTGGTTTGCCATTATTAAGTGCTCATTTGTCAACCGAGATGGCATTTTTTTCCTCGAAAAAGCAGGACCTGGTGTCCCGGACATAAAAAAAAAAAATAAACAAAACCTTTTTATGTTGATGGTTGAGACTTATCCCAGCGGTGGAACTACAACTAATAAAACCTGTCACTTTAATAGCCAATGCTGCGTAGGAGATGGTGTTTCCTCTGAACCAGTTTGACCGAATCATTTCGCTTTTTATATGGGGGGTGAAGCTAATTGGAATAAATGAGTCTTCCTATGTTTTGGTCCTAGTACAGTAATCATTCACACACTTTTTTGCCCCTACAAATAAAATGAAAAGCGACAGCATGAGTATTGAGAATATAGCCTCTTTTTGCATTTTTCAGATTATGAAGACACAATTTAAATGGGGATTTAATACAGATCTAGTGAAGTAATGCTAAAAAAAGGAGCTACAAAAAATATTGTGAATTAAAKGAAAATTTAGTTYCTCCCAGTGCTGCATAGATGTCTTTATATTCTGTTCGGTTCAAATTTTTCAACCTGTTCAGTTTTCTCTATTTTCTATGACATTTTTTGAATTATTACATCAAACTATTTGCAACAGAACTGCAAAATACAGTAAGGTCTGACCTTACCAACTTAAATTTGGTGGTTTTTATTCTCCTCTTGCTCTGGGCCAGAATCTGGTTCTAACATGTAAAACAGGATGGACAAATTTTCCGATGTTGACATATTTTACTGAATTTGTAAATAAAAGGTTTCTGCACAGCTATATAGCCACAAGCTCCAGTTTTCGCTAGTTTTTGTTAAGCTTAAARTCAATCATTTCATACATAATTTAACCTGAGACTATTTCTATACACTTACTATTTTACATTTTCATTTTTAAACTGTGTACTTTTTTATATTCATTGTTTACATTGTATGTTCTGCACCTCAGCAACACCACGTCAAATTCCTTGTGTTTAAAAATACTTGGTCAATAAATTGTATTCTGATTCTAAACCCCGCTATCAAACTGGAATGAACCGGTCCGGATGCTGTGGATGGGGGCAGGGCGTGAAGCGCCTCATTCGGATTTAAAGAGACAGCATCAAAACGAGTTGATCTGAGACACACTACATAGAAAGGGGAAAAGAGGGGCTTGTGGAGTTGCAATAAGGAGGAATTCAGACCAACGCATTGCAGTTTCATTTTATACGGACCCCAACTGAAGGATTTAAACACGAAAAGGAGGATTTATTAACATGGTATGTCTACTTTAGGAATAGAAGGAACATCTGAAGATTATTTGGATATTTTTTTTACACTAGATAATGTTTGTACATATTTCATTTTGCTTCTAATGACTCTCTAAAACCCCAGCCAATGAGCCATAGTCCATCAGTACATTTGTATTTCTTTTTTCCCGAGGCTGTATGACCCACGCGATCTGCACATTTTTCACATATTGTCTGCAATGGCAGTTACKTTTTACTCTGTCCTTAGCTCTGAATTTGCCAAGCTGATTTCTATGTCACTATTTTTATGCAGCTGATTTTTTTCTTCTGTTTATTCTTCATAACTAAAACCAGCAAATTCCATGAACTTGTCCTTAATTATGACTCTCATTTTTGAATTCTTTGATACCATATTTTMTTTTTACTGTTTCATTTTGCAAGTTGTGGTATAAGCAATGCTCTCTAATGCAAATTACCAAATACAGTAGATGAACATGTAATTTCACAAGATCTGATCATTCTGAAAAAAAGACAACAGACAGTTGGTATTTTTTCCATTACTCGTTACATATTACGTTTTTATATGCTGTAGTACCACATAACTGAATCTTTTTTTTATTTATACCTCTGCTGAGTTCTCATTAGTCAGAAAGAATCATCATCTGTCGGTGGGAACACTGGTGTCCTCGCAGGAGGAGAAACATTTTTGTTTTAAGAAGTTTTTGAAACTCTGGCACACAATTTAAATCACAGATATTTCATCTGTGCACACAGACTGCTCACTGCTTACTAACCACAAGTATTACTTCACTGAATAAACTTTTTTGAAGCTGATTTGAGTTGGGCTAAGTTATTTTGACTGCTTGCAAAAAAATGTTCAAACTTTCTGTAAAATAAAAAAATTATTTGGTGCAAAATCCACTCTAACTTCCTCCGGTTTGCCCTTTCACCTACAAATAGCTTTGGATAAAAAATGTCTGTCAATTCAGTGTGATGCTGCCTAATAAACACTCTCACAAGCTATCGGCATGGTTTGTGTAGCTGCAGATTTACATACAATATGATAATAAATCCTGGTCCTGTTAAGGTGAAACATTTATTTCAGAAAAAGAAGCATGAGCTACTACTGTAACATCAAATAAAAATACAGAAAACTGAAACTTTTTTAAAAAATTGTTTTTCTTTCAGCTGCTTCCTTCTGCATAGATTGTCACAGAGAGAAATTTTTCATGAAAGATTTGTCAATTGGGATGCCTTCCTAATGCAACCTGGGCTAAAATCTGCAGCTTCAGGATTACAAGACTGCAGCACTGACCATCGAGCTACTGCAGCGCCTTAAACTATTTCTTTGTGATTTGATGAGATGATGGTTTCCTGTGGGGGAGTCACGCTGTTTTTCTTCATTTATGCATGTCCTGTGATCCGAGCTTTATCTTGGAGACCGTGCGGTTGAAACACAAARTTTGACAGTTTAGTTTGTATTTCAAAGTGAATGCAAGATGTAGTCACGTTTGCAGCAAACAGCTCACACACATATTTTACCATGGTAAAAAAGTTATGACACATCTGCTGAAACCAGTTTGCAAATTAGTTGCAGCACATTTCATAGTTAAAATATTCATTTTGACTTTGTTAAAAGCAAAATATAAAACATT